AAGGAACACGGAAATGTCCGGGCTGCGAGCTTTATCAGGAAGGATACGATTGACGCGAATCAGCAGGATCTAGTTGAAATTCGCTCCCAGGTGGATCCCATACATTCCCTATCGATGTGGAACATGCGGGACGAGATCCGAGTGTACGTGAAGTCTACCTTTATCACTGTCGAATCACTATGTCACTAGGGGGAAAATGTCCAAGCTAGCAATGAATGGGTGTTGAGCCAACACCAAGGCTCTTTGTAAACAGCACCACATATCCGTAGATTGCGGATGTCGCGGAATTCAGTGAATTCTTTATGCGACATCCATAAACAGTTTCCTTAAAATGCATGGTACAGCCTTCATTACGTTTCCGAAAAATGTAGCTTTGTCTTCCCACGCATGCCACGAGATCGTTATGGGTGTTGGGCCCCGTAAATCGGAAATGCACAAGTGGCCCACCAACCAATAGCATCCAAACACCGCTGAACTTCCAGAAATAAAACAGGAAAGTTGTGAAAGCAGTCTCAAGCCTGCCCATCTGATGGCCACGCAGCTATTTCATTTATTCATTAAAATACTTAACTGAAAGCAAAATATGCCGAAAGAAACTATCGACACAGCTGACGCCTTTTTAATAAATCTGATCAGCGATTCAACACCGCACGATAACTGAAATATTTACCAGCGGTGCTAACGGTCGGCTCGACGATACATCAGAGAGCGACTGATTAATGTGGTGGCTGATGGGTTGCGGCGTCTCTCTTCGCCCAGAGGGCGGCCCCGTGACCCGACATCAGCCCCCATTTATCCGCTGTCAGTTATGACTGACTCTGGCCCGGGACTAGCCACGGCACTGGTCCAGGCACTGGCACAGGGACTGGCACTAGCGTCTAGCACTAGCACCATCACCAGCACCAACCCCAGCCCGGCACCACACCGGCGCGGCGGTCTGATCCAATCCGATCTGATCCCGTCCGATAGGTCACGCAGTCGCCTCCCGCTCCCAGGCTCAGCACGGCGCGGACTGCGGGGGGACGGGCTGGGGAGGGGTGAGCGAGTACACAAGTCACAGCGAGGCTGTGGGAATGGCAGCGGATTCAGAGGATTGAGGCGAAGGACCGGTCCGTTTCTCAGGTGGGGTGGTCCCACTGATCCCAGCTAGCTTACACGGTCGGCGGTCAACGGAGAGCAGTCAGGTTTGTTCAGGTCAGCGATCGGTAGCTACACTGGTCAGAACACCGGTAATAGACTGGTAATTGGCAGCTATGATGAGCTCGGGTCGTGGGAAGTGCGCCTCTGTGAGGCCTCCGTGTCAAACGCCGGCGCCCGTCTCCGCAGAAGGTGACAGGACCTTGGCCGGCGTCCTCTGAGGGCCTCTATTATGGCCGCAATCAGGTGCGGCCGCGGGCGGCGTGACTGGCTCGGCCGCCCTACGGCAGCCACTCCGTGTGAATCAGCGGCTCGGCACACACCGCCCGCCCGGCCGGCCGGTCCGCCAGCCGCCCGGCCGCCCAGGGCCGTCGCGCTTCCGGCCGCGGCCGCGGCGGCCGCCGCTGCCTGGGGGCTGCCAGAGGCGCCAGTTTTTGTCACCGTCCAGCCAGCCGGGACAGAGCGGCGGCTGGCCGCGCTGCAAGGCCTGAGAGAGGGCGTGGTCGTTGTCCTCTTGTGGCGCTCATCTCCTCTCTCGTTATCTAGTCCCATGGTTTTCTGGCTGGTCTCTTCAGTCCTCTATGAAGAATCCTATGCCGCTTGTCTCGTAAGGATTGTAGTCCCGCAAGGGATTATTCAGCGTAGAGTTTTGAGGTGGACAAATCGTCCGAAGGTTTACTTGTTTGTGCTTTGTCACCTGTATAGCATAACGAAAAAAAGCATCGCCGTAGCTCAGTCTTGGTTCCACATCCCCTGAATCTGCCCCTGCGTCCTCTCCTGAGCCACCACTAGCCCTGGGAGCGGTCAGCGGGTCGATGAAGTATCCCCGCCGGGCTGAGAGGCGGCGATCGGCTCCTCTGATCAGCTCCACCTCACCGGAGGCTGCCTATCCGGCGCCGGAGGGCGGCGACCGGTACACGGCGGCGGATCAGAGACGGAGAGATTACCGGCGCAGCACATCAGTGAACTCAGAACAGTGACCGGCGGCACACTATGGCGGATCAGAGGCAGAGAGATTAGTGGTGCCATAGGCACTGGAGAGAGGAGTGGACCGCTGACCGGCGGTACATACAGCGCGCTGGATCAGAGGCAGATTGCCGGCCCCGTGAGCCAGAGAAGGGAGAACGATAGACCACTGGCCGGCGATAAACCGCGCCAGACGAGGAGAGGACGGTCGGTGGGAAGAGCGATCCCTCCCATGGGAGAGGGTCGGATTCCACGCACCGGGGAGCGTCAGCAATGGAAGGAGGGAAGGGAGAGAGGGACTACTTTCACCGGGAGAGGGGATGCGATACGGAGGGCCCGTATGAAAGGAGACGACTGACGAGAGAATCTCAGCCCACGATATTAGGGAGGGAGACAGTGGCCCGCTCAATATCACCACCACTGTGGTCTTTGTGCCTCCAAATCCTCTGTTACGCCATACGAAAACCTTATTACAGGCGCCGCAAAGCCATCGGAATGCTGGGCTGGACCACACGCTGTACGAAATATCCGATGCAGCTTTCCCTGTGCTGATCGTCAAATGTCAGCAGGAAAAGACGAGATTCCCGTCGAGGAACAGGGCGTGCCCGAGGAATGACAAGGCCGACAGGCTGCCAACAAAGACCACAAACCAACACCAGCTCCAGTTGGAAGTCGGGGACGTTGGAATGGCGTTAGAATGACGATGGAATGTCGCCAGGCGATCGGCCGCTCCCGGCGCCGGATACGCATCGGCGAGGCCGCCGACGCGACGGTCGGCACTGGAACGGCCTCTCTCCGGCCGAGCTACGCACAGCGCAGAGATCGGCGGGCGGACGTCGGACGATACGGTGCGGTAGGGCCAGTAACCGTGGCACTCGCCGACCCGAGCTCAGCCGCCGGCGGCGCTCACCGTCCGGCTATCCGTCTCGGGGCGCGACCGGCGCTCGTTTGTTCGGCGCCATGTCCGGCGGCGACAGTGGCCACCCGCTGACCTGCTCGTTAGACGCGTGCAGGGCGGCGGCACGGGAGGCAGGGAGACGGCACGGGCCAACGCCGGAACCAGGCAGACGTGCTCTACATCTGAGCAGCCTCAGCTAACCTAGAAACACCGGTACAGCACGGCGTAGCGCAGCAGTCGGAGTAACGTGAGTTGCTGGCTACCTGCAGTTTATACACTCTACAAATCAGACGGATTTAAAGGGGCGGTTGCGGACCACGACCTGACTTCGAAGTAGGACTTCTGTTGTTCTCTCCGAAGGCCCAGAGCCGAGGTCTCACGGCATACGACCACACGCCGCGTTGCGAAACTATGAGAGAACATCCGCAAGCCAGTGCACGTCAACGAGAGCTCTCCGGCTCGGCGTAAAAACTCCTTAAGCCGGCGGTGAGCACTCTCACGATGTTTGTCTCTGCTCCCGAGCGCCGCCGCCGCTGCCGCCCTGTAAACAGCTGAGCGTTCCGCCGTCGCCCGCCGCGGTGAGAGGGTGCGACGGCTCGGGACAAGGTGGGGAGTGGGGACCGCCAACCGTGCGACTATTTCCATTTGTTTTGGCGCGCGGGAAGGGCGGGAACGGCGCGCGGCAGGCAGGCCGATGAGTGAGTGCGGCGGGAGCGTTCCCCACCTCCCCGCCGGCGCCGGATGCCGCGGAGGACCGTCACGCAGTCAATACACACCTCCGACCAGCCGGCGGCGCGTCAGCTGTCTGGAGAAGACGTATTCATCGACTGGTCCCACTCGGCGCTGACTGTCCCCCAAGGGCTGAGAAGACATCGTCGCTGCTCGGGTGATAAGCGAAAAACAAGTGACGGGCGAGAGAACGACTCCAGAATATGAATAGATAGAATGGCAGGTGCTAGAGTTTGCGATGGGCTCTGGCGACCGTAGAGGGAATAGAGAGACAATGGAAACAGGCAGCGAATGCCTCTGTCCCATCTCTCAGTGTAAGCAACTCTGCCCAGGATTACACTTGCATCAAGCACTGAAACCCAGCACCCAGCCGTGCCGTGGGTCCAGGGGTGGCCAGTGACCGCAGGCCGGCTCCATCTGACCACATCTGATCGCATCTGACCACAGGTGACCGGTGTGGCCATGGACCTAGGGAGAGGGCCGCCAGTGGCTGTGAGCTGGCCGGCCCTGCGGGTCTACGGCTGACCGCGAGGAGACCGGCCACGGCAATAGCGACCGGCGGACTGAAACTGACGAGAGGGCGAACCAGAACGAACTGATCACATCACAGCACTGACCGGTGAACTCCGCGGAGAGGAATGAGCAAATGGGACTGGCCAGGGGGACTTAGCAGTGGGGACGGAGCCTGTGGACGACCACGGATTTCCCAGCTCATATTCGTCTCAGCTTGAGCTGTTCGGATTGCTGTCAGATTACCGCAGATAATCCAAATCCAAACTGGAGGGCAGTAGGTGACCACTGACCAGTCCAGCTGTGTGTAACACTAGCCATTTTTACAATCCATCCGACAGCGCGGCACACATGCGGGCAGCTATACTGATACGCGGACAGCGGAGGACGGAGGGACAGGCAGATTAGGAGCGCTCCCGAGCCCCTCCACCACGTGCTGCCATGGCGCCCTCCGTCCCCCATCCCCATTCCCCTCGCCTCTCGACCCAAACACAAAGCGGCACATCGGCGTCCCCGGCACTACGCAGTACTGGTACGCACTATCACGCTCCCACTATATGTATAGCTTCATCAGTCAAAACCAGTAACACTGCTCCATGTCTGTTCTCGCTCACCCAGCCCGCAGCGGTCTGCACGCGTGCAGAGCCCGCCGGTAGCGGATATGGCGTTCCGTTTCAATTTGAACGCGGCGCGGGGCGTAACGGCGGTTTCCGTTTTGTTTCTCCCTGTACCGCCGTTCCTGGGCGCCGCAGGGACCTACCTGTGACTGCTCCGTGTCTGCGAGTCCTCCTCTGGCCCGGGGCGTTCCTCAGCTGTGCTCCAGGCTCGGCTCCCAGGCTTTCTAGTCACTGGCGGCGTGGTCCACTCTCCACACTGTCCCCGCGGCGCTGCACGCCAGCACACTGCCGGCCCGCCGGCCGCCGCCGCCGCGGCCGTCAACAGGCACTCGCTGACGTCGTTCTGACGTCACACCACCGGCCGGCGGCTCCTGATTGGTCGGCTGGAGGAGGCCGGGCGGTGACGTCCACTCCCCCTGGGGAAGGAGAGGAGCGGAGAGCTGTGATTGGACACTGGACAGGTAGGGCAGGTGCTGACCGACGAGTGTGAACAATAAGGAGTAAGGACTGTTTATGGCACATTTCAAGGGTCACTTCGAATTACGAGCTATACTGTGAGGATTTATCAGAACGAGTGGGAGAGGGCGAAGAAGAAAAAGATTGATCTACAGCTCACAACATACATGAACCACGTCGGGTCAGAACTTAAAAATTGTCACACAATACCTTCCCACCCCACACATTATTTATTTTGTCCATTGCACCTCAAGCCGGGAGTGTCGGATCGAATGTCGATGACCTGGGCATAACTAATGAAGACGGGCTATCAAATATCAACCGAGTCTGAACGGAGATCAGTGATCACACCGGACGGCGAATCAATGCAGTTATTTGCAGTACCTATTGGTAAGAAGACTTTGGCCTCGGTGTAGTGTCGTAGTTCTTTACTTCGTAGTTCGTAAGGCTTCTTAGCACATCGCGTTTCATTAGAAAAGAAACAAGGACACTTTCTTGCATCGCAGCGAAAGTCTCTCCTTTCCCGTTATATTGATTCATTTCTTACGTGCGCTATGCAGCCAACTTCAGCTAGATCAACAAGCTACCTACGGAGAGGTGGGAGGAGTAATACGCTACCACCTTCGTCGTGCCGAAGTCAATGAAGGCAATTTTAGATTCATTTGCAGAAATTGTACCGCGAGGGAGAAACTCGAGTCTAACGGGTAACAGGATGCAACTGTTGACCACCCAGCCAGGGGCTCCGCCACGGTTTTGGGATTGGGGGGGGGGGGGTCCGACCGAAAACACAAAACCTCGCTGGCGGATCCAGGGTGGGCATTTTGGGCGAATTCATCCTCCCCCTGCAGCTCCCGAAGATGATGAAAAATTGCCGCTTTTTCTAGAGCTCAAAGAAAACTTAATAATTTTATCGGGATAATTTTGCTTGGAGCCGAAAAACCAAAGCTCAATTTGCACAAGAAATCGAAAACCGAGAAGCGGAGCCCATTGACACCGACATGGCGGCCTCTCAAATCAACGTTTTTGAGCAATGGAGGCCGCTGTTGCGCGCTCCAAGGGCGGTGTTAGCCATCAGACAGCGCATTAGGCTCTCAGTGACTGGCATGCGCATCAGCTTGCCACTCAGGGACCTTCATAGGCGCTCAGATATCTATGTAGGCTCTTAGCTGCCAGTGCCGGGTCCTCCAGGGCTTTAGGAGTCGTTGAAGTGATTTGAAAGCCCTGCCCTCATACATATAGCAGTATGGAGTCCTTTATGACATCCAGTCTCTGTGATCAGAGAGTGACCTACCTCGACCTGAAAATGGATATCAAGAATCAAAGGTCAGGTTATGCAGGGAATCCTGTAAGAGTTGTGATTTGTAGACGGCATTCAGAGTCCTGTGCAGATTATTGCAGATTACCTCAGAATGGTGTGAGGCTGCTTAGACTAGTACGGTGCTTGAAAGACCGGCTTAACCCCCTTCCCCCAACACTATCGGTTGACCTCACATGGAAAAAGGATTCTCAGATCGCTTTGAAGCTCTTTAGGGGCGGGTATTGTGTCTAGGTGTCCTGCGAACTGGACCTCTCTCACGAAATTATAGCCGAATTCTAGCATGCTGAGCTAATCCTATAGCAATCTTAAACGCATTCATTTTACTAACAAAATGGCAGAATAATGACACTCCCGTACCTACTAGGTCGGCGAGAGTTGAGCGCTTCGTGTGTCACATTTTTAGGGATCTGTACATTTCTAGATCTTAAATTCCTTAGCTTTGCGACTGTCAACACTGCACATTCTAAATTATTCAACACATTCTGTGAACGATTTAGTCATTCTTACGCGAAAACAAGCTTATAGGTATTCGGAATATTGGGGGGTACTGTACCCCCCAGGTAAATTATTGAGGGGGTCCGGACCCCCGTGTACCCCCCTGTGGCGGAGCCCCTGCACCCAGCCCAATCTCCCTCCCTCCTTCTCAGACCCAGAGTAGGCATAACTCCGCGGGATGACCACGCTCGTACGGCGGTAAGAAGCGGCTCACCCGCGCAGTTCGGAGAAAAACCGGCTGGCTCGGCCATCAGCTGCCTGCGCAGGGATTTCTACTTTTTGTGAATCAATTCAACCGTCTCCAGCTGAGATGTCGGACCACGCATCCTCTCAATGCAAATCACGTCATCGGGTAATGACGATGGCGTGATGAGAATAAAATTCACCTTCAAAATATTACGATCGCCAGCATGAAAGCGAATTCATCAGTCATCACAAGTGCGTAGCGTAAGAACGTCGAGCAAAACTGAGCGGGCTAGGCTAGTGCCGGGTAATCTCCGATGTTCCTCTAAAGGCACCGCCACTCCTGCAATGGATATGAGGCGATGGACCCCGTAACAACCCAGCATAACTTTAGGACGTGGTCACGCTTAGATCAAGACATACACGCTTCATGATGCACGACTGATATAGCTATGAGAATGTACGAGCACATACAAGTACCGCATGAATAAAATGCCGACTCTTGAGAGAATGCCTCGTGAAATAAACAATTACTCACGGCGAGTGCCGAGGGACAATACGGTCCAATTTTACACGGCTCTTCAGACGTCATGATTACGAGCGAGCGAGCGCAGCGAGCGAAGTGAGTCTTTTCAATATAACGGAAAAATCTCAGTATGAGCGGCCCGGCCCGGCCCGGCCCGGCCCGGCCCGGCCTGTAACGCTTTTGAGAGGCTTATATCTCAGCAACCGCTGGACCGATTGGCCTGCGGTCTTTTTTGTTGGGTAGCCCCATCCCTTCTACCCCGTAATTGACTACTTTTGATACATCTCAGTGACCGTGGTGGCACGTGCCACGTGAAAAGTCAAGGGTGTTCAAGCTGTTTTGCAAAAGTAGTGATTTTGAGAGGCTCATATCTCAGCAGCCGCTTGGGCGATTGACTTGCGGTAATTTTTGTAGGGTAGCAGCATCCCTTCTACCCAAAATAGGATACTCTCGATGTATGTGGGTCACCCCCAGTGCACGTGCAAAATACAACAATAAGAGGTGCCAAATTTGTTCCCATTTCAGTAACTCGGTAATTACTGGGGCGATTTCCCTGAAACTTGGCATACAGGTAGGCACCCACTAGGCAATGCATTCCCATGTGTTGCGGTTAGGGTGCTACTGCACGTGCGCACGTGCAGGGGGCGTTTCCAGATCTCGAGAACGGCTGGGCCGATTGCGCTCAAATTTGGTACACGGTTGGGGACCAGTTAGTAGGGTGCCGTGCAAAAGTCATTTTGGACCCCGTTTGCACGTGCGCACGTGCAGAATGCCGCTTCCAGATCTCAGGAACGGCTGGGCCGATTGCGTTCAAATTTGGCACACCGCTAGCGACCGGTTAGAAGGGTGCTTTGCACAAGCCCGTTGGAAGCACCCTCTCGCCCTTCCGCACGTGCAGGGCTCACTATCTCGCTCGCTCGTTCCTCGCCCAAAAGGCGTTTTACTGGTAATGAGTAACAAAACTAGGCTAACTATGACTCCTCCATGACATGCAACACAGAGGAGTGCCGGTCGCGGGTCAGGGCTCGCTGAAACTGGCCGGGCAGTTGGGATCTGACACCGTGCTTTCTGATGGTCAGGTTAAGGTAAGATGAAACCTTTGATATGGCGGTATCACAGAGTTCGGATATGACCGGTGGTATTGAAAATAGTGGCGGGTTTTTCATAGAGTGGGCATCGAGCATCTATATCAAAGCGCCCTTCACATAGCTGTTTAGTTTCACATGTTAGTTTTACTTGTGTGCTAAGGCAGATATGTAACGTTTACACCACGTTAGTTTATTTTAAAGGGACTATCCCACCTTTAACATGGGATTTGAGTTGAGATAGCCAAGTTTGCGGCGAGGTTCAGAAACCACTATCTATCTAGGTTGCAACCCCCGCGGCCTCTTGGTGTTGAAGAAATTCGTTCCCTTCATTTGAAAATGGGCCTTGTACAAGGCCCTATCTTCAACATGGAGCGACCGTTAGTGTGACGTCACCTCGTTTAGTCATTCTGATTTAAATGGGTTTGTTCGTTGAAAAATCGCTTAAAACTTGGTCTGAACTTTGTTGTGGTGCCTACAGAGTAAAAAGAATCAGCTTTATGACAGTAATGTGGCCTGGGGAAGGAGGTAATTTTGGGCTGTGACGTCACATATTTGAAAGTTTGTGTTTGGAATATGGGAAGCCTAAGATGTTTAATGAAAAATAAATGCCAGAACCGTGTTCCTGGTCATTCAATCTATAAAGTCGGGCACAATTTAACTGGTTTTAACAACATTTTAGAAGGTGGGATAGTCCCTTTAAGCATATGCCAGACATCTAATATACACAAATATACAAAAATTAATTTACCTACAAATATTTGACATGCAAACCTTGTTTTCCAATTGTCTGTGTGGACAGAACTGAAGCGATTCACGATGGACACCCCACGGGCTGAAGCAGTGACTGGTTTGTCCGTTTTATCAGGCGCTCCATCTCACGTCAGCGCGCCTATATCGCGTCGCCTCCATTCGTGTCACCCGTCAGGTGAGATTGCACGCGAATCAGCCTGCACGGTTCACAATGACGTGCTGCATCAGGGAAGACGTCTGTACCCGGGCAGCCAGCGCTAACGAGGTGGTAACGAGGTAGTAACTGGAACACGATTAGCGCGAGTAATTTCGACAGGCGTTCTGTGGTGTTCGACACGCAACGAGTTGCAGAAGTGAACAGATAAGTCGTAAGAACATCATCAGCCCATCCGCAGAGATTACAACAGACGGAACATGACTGCCGAGAACTGGTCAACGAGACAAGATGATTGCGTTAGGCGATGTGACAACGAGTGTGAGAATAGGAACAGACAAGTGAATTTCGCACCCCATCATCATTAATCATCAACAATAATAGCTCCAGTAGCCGGCGGTCTGCATCATGAAGGCGACAGGCGTGATAAATGAATCGTGGTGGAAGTAGGTACACTTAAAATATTCTTGATAAAACGTTTCAACGTTTCCAGACCATAGTATACAAATAACTGAGTCCTACTCGGAAAACAGCTCACTGAGTTAAGATTCATCTTTAACATTCACTCACTGACCCCCTATCAACTTCAATACCACATCACTTATTCTTTTACGCGCTTTCGGAAATTTACTAACAAAGTGTTAAGCCTGTTATAACTGTGTCTCATAATGCTATGAGCACATGATGTTCAACTCCTCCGACATAGGCGGCGGAACGGGGAGGGTACCGGGGCACCGTGCCCCCCTTTGATTTTGGCATCTTAACATTAGCCCTATGGGCGTTGCATGGAAAGAATGGGACCAAAAGTCGGCAGTGCCCCCCCCCCCCCTTTATTTGAAGGTGTTCCGCCGCTACTGTCCTCCGACCGACCAGTCCAAAACTCGCTCGGCAGACTGGAGGACTGCTTCCGGCTCCTACCTGAAACACGGACCCACTCTCCAGTCTCCACCCTAGTCCCTAACACGGACTAAGATTGTCAGAGCAGACAATCAATGGACGAAGGATGAAGAAAGACGAAGCCTTAGACCTCCATCACCAAATTTTCCCCGAGAAGGCTCGTTTAATACCTCCCGGGTTTTTTATCCCGGGTTTTATCGCACTCGTCCAAAGAGAACGGAGCTGGACCTCTCGAGGACCACCTCACCCCCCCAAGATTTTGGATTACTTTAATGTTCCAAATCAGCGGCTACTCTTTTCGCGTGAGGGTGTCGCCTTCAGGCTACTGTGAAGCCCCAGCCGCTATTTTTTTTTTCTGCTGGGAAAACTGGCCTCTGCTGAGTCCGATACCAGGCTCCATATTTATTGCCACCTCGCTCCAAATTGTACCTCCCTCCTCCCCACCCCCTTTCAATCCGAGCTGCCACCTCCTCTCCTGATATCCCAGATTCGTCCGCAACGGAGCCCAAATGAGGGAATGGGGGAGCGACATTTTCCTTTTTTCGCCATATTTGGGGATGGGGGGGCAAGGGAGGACCCAGAGGGATGGGCACAAAAAATGTGACACGTCGGTTTCCACCAGCCGCCTAGCTCAGGGCAACGGGCTCGAGTTCGAGCTTCGGAATCGGACCCTGGGCTTCAGCTTCGGACTGAGGACATGGGACGGCTCTGCCGAGCAGTTGCGCCCGCGCCCAACTCAGGAATAGCTCCACAAAAAAGTTCATTGAGCAAAGCAAAAAGTAATGATTGGGTATTATCTTACCAAGGATATCGCTTATTGCTATCGGATCGGACGGTAGCAGTAGAGTTGGAGCACAGTTGGAGTCACTTGACTGAACTCTGTAATGGTTGGAGACTGGACGGGAGTAGATGCCGTATTCATATTCTCGCCAAGCACACTAACACACAAAGATGAAAATCTGAAGTGCCAAACAAAAGTATTGATTTTAGATTGAGTTATGTCTTTGAAAGAATAATTATAAAATTGATATTACGCCCGTGCCCATTTCACTTTTTCGAATTTGCCGCGTTTACGCGCATGCCGCGCGCATATATTTCGTCACATTCGCGTCATAAGCGAAACTCCTATGTCTCTGTTCAAAAGGATTCCGGTCGCTGTTAATAGTAAGAAAATGCAAATAAATTTTGCTTACTTAGTATAGAAAACTACAAAGTAGAAGCATTATTGGTAATTTTCTCATATCTAAAAATGATGAAAAGTTATCATTTTTATTTATACATTATCTGAAAATGATCTGAAAGGTCATATAAATTGAAAATGGATGTTTTCTATGCTATTGAACAGGCTTGTAGCTCGCGAACGGATGTGCCGTGCGGTGCGTGCGGTCGTTTTGGAATATTTTATTTTCCACGGTATATTGAGAACTTTATTTGTTGTTATTTTCATTTGATATTCGTGGTGAATGTGTACGTGCTGTGGCTGTATGCGTGTCATAATTCGATTGTTAACCAGCAACTTCTCAGTTTACTGTACCAATTTCTAATTAGTAGCATGATGGAATTTTAGAAAAGTGGGAAACTGAAACTCCAGAACATGGATTACCCAAAAGCAAAATCGCGTATCAGCGATACAAGACGAGACACCGAGTGAGAGAAGAAAGAAGATGGACGCTTGAGCCCTGGCAGCTACGCGCCCTAATTGTAATCCAACAAGAACAAGAACAGAACATGGATTAGGAATGCTTCATATATTTCCAGAGTGTGATTACCGCGACAAATTTCCTTGTAAAGGAGAACCCTAACAACTGTCACACTGTGTGCCATTAATTGCCACCGTTGCAATAGGTACAAGCCAAGTAAGGCAGACATAAGTATCACAAGCTGTCATATGCACTGGAATATGCCTTTCTAGCCAAGCCAAAACAGAACAAACCAAACCAAACATTACCTAACCTTGACCTGACCTGCAGTCTGCAGCCTACTTTCTACAACCTATGGTATCACATATGACACTTGACAGCTCGTGCTGCTGCCTGCCACTGCCTTACCAATACCTCAATTTTGTGGACGATTGGTGCATTCTGCTTATTCTCTTTCTAACCATCTTTCATCACTCGCCCTGAGTTAAGATGTTCTTTCCATTTAATGTTTTATTTTGTGAATTCCTGTACTCTGTATGGTGGAATAAAAGCCAAAACCAGAGTATAGATGTATATATAAGTTTCAAATTCACTCATTTTTGGTACCTATCAAACTATGAAGTTTCGCCATATTTTGCATTTTAAACATCAACATATGTAGCACTGAGCTCATTTATTGGTTAGGGTTTATAAAGCCTTGTGTAGGCACTTAGGTGGGCAGTAGGCACATTAGATGCTAAAATGTCACTGAAGTTTCTAATGTTTCACAGGATTACAATTCCCTGCTTCATTCATTGCATGTTGAGAATCCACTCACTTCAGGCACATTCATTGTTATTATAATGGATTGATCATCAAATTGATCACACAGATCAGTTGGCATTATGCTCTGATGTCTGCATCATCCAGTAACCATCCTTATTGCTACCACTTACCTACCTATACCTTCCTATTCATTGGTCTGTGGATTTACATGTAAACTATGTAGGTAGGGTGCTGATTGGAATATGTCAATGCAGAGAACATATTGCAGGGACATGCAATCAATGCATTCATTAAAAAAGTAGTTCAATGATAATTCTGTTGTATTGCAATATGTTTGGGACATTTTATTAGAGGTATTTTATTGCTTGAGATAACACCTTCACTCTCTTAGGAAGAAAAATTGTCTCAAAATGCATAGCAAAGGATAAGGATGACTTGCTTACACAGCTAGTCTGTCGCCATAATTGAGTATTTAATCAATGCAAAGCTTTCTGTGAGGTTAGTTTTATAAACAGAAAAGTTGCCAGCTGATGGTATCTTATATCTTTACATCAAGTTAAACTAACAATGTGAAAATGAGTGCTGTTGTAAAAGCATAAGCTAGACTGGTTCTGTCAGTAGAATTAATTGCCTATGATGTGGTTTATGGAGCTATCTGGAGCATTTCTGTCCATGATGTTCTTGACACATACCTGCTTGTACGTTCACAGAGGCTCAACTTCATGACAAACCCCCAATTGGAGACGTTTTACTGTCTGTATATTCACGATCTACTGAACTCCAAGTACGACCCAGAGACGCGCGTGTCGACCTGGGGGCAGCTGCGGATCCGACGAGTTGACATTCTTGGCACAGTGGTGTCAACCAGAACATACGAGAAACGATCAGAGTACCAAAGTAAGCAGTATAAACTATTGTGTAAATGTTCATATTGTCTTTCTCCCTTTCCATTGCTTCCCAAGTGGTAGCTGAATATTTACTGAGCTGTTATTTTATGTGTTTTGTTGTTTCCAGTAATTTGATTGAGGTTTTATCGTAATTTTAATTGTAATTCCCAGTAAAGAAGGTCACCGGCCTTTCATGATACAAGACGCACAACGTTCCAAATATGTGGTCATATATTATGTGACATGGAACCTTCTTAACTCACTCCCTCTTTCCTGTTCCTCCTGCAGTTGACGACGGCACCGGAGTAATTCACTGCTGCTATTTCCATCGTGACCCAACCCCGACTCCCGGCACATCATCAGCGGCTACTCCAGCCCCGGACGACCCTCTGACGCGTCTCGCTCTGGGCACCCGTGTGCACGTGCGTGGAGGGCTGCAGGAGTATCGCGATTGTAAACAAGTAGTGGCCTACTCAGTGCGTATCGTCACCGATCCCAACGAGGAGTCAGCGCGGGTGTTCCGATTGGACGCTCTCTACAGGGCTGTATACGATCGTCAGGCGCCGCCACGGTGACCTTTGACGACCTTCAGTGACCTTGGGTGACCTTTGGCGACCCCGCAGACCACAGGCATCTCTCAGGTGACCTCTGGTGACCCTGGGTGACCTCTACATTACCAAGCTACCCCGGACGTCCCCCTCCGCTGCTTTTCTGCCATGGTGGAGCCGGCCGAACCGCGACTGGGCACTCACTCGTTCAACTGCCGCCACCAGTCATCTATCGTGCACTGCCAGGTACTGCGACTGGCTGACAGCTTCTTCCTCTGGTTGGCCGACAGTCCCAGTTTCCAGCAGCTGGCTGTGGGCATGCCCCGCGGTCCGGAGGCCGTGTCCTCACTCCTACTGAACCAAGGCGTTCGGGGGCAGAGCGACCAGCTGGCCTCGCGGCTGGCACGCCGCACAGGCAAACAGGTGTTTGTCAGCTGTAACGTGAACTTGGAGGACGCTGCGCTGCGACAGGCACTGGAAGCCAGGGTTGTGGAGGAGCTCAAGGAGTGCCCGGATAAGTTCTGAACGGGATACGGTGTCGAACGAACGGGGAAAGGTGCGATAAGGACAGAAAGGCGGCGGGGTTTGAGTGGCTGAAGAGTGAGACAAGAAAGACTACATCAGCAACTGAGTGGTACCAGTTAAGTGAGGAAGGCCAAGTAACTAGAACGACAGTGAGACATAAGTGGTGCGTGGCACTGTGCTCGGTGCTTAACAATGGCTACACATGCAAGTGTATCATCTTCCATTGAAGCCGACTCGGCCCCGACTGACGACACAGTCCGCCACCATCGTCGGGAGGAGGAGCAGTACAGGCGGCGACACCGTCGCGCTCTGGTGCGGGACCTCGACCGGCCCGGCATCGAACAAGTAGCTCAGCAGTGTCAGGTGAGTTGCTAAACGATTTATTTTCCTTTATTAGCTAGGTATTATTAACATGTTCAAGCTGCCTTGATTTAGAGGCATTAATCGTTTCAAACGGTGATGGAATTATATTTGTCACAGGACGGGCAACATATTCGATGGTGCAACGCTTTTCTCCCATTTATTTCTCCAACATGCCACCTACCTAACTAGCGACTCTCACTCTCCGTTCTCTCTCCTCGACAGGAGCCGTCTGTGCCGGAGCTGCTGCGTCTGTGTGAGGGGGACGGTCCCCTCTCCGCAGACGACCTGAGAAGGATCGGACGTGGCCTGGCCAATAGCGCCGCCGCCCGCGCTGCCTGCACGCAGACGGGCGACTGGCGGCGCCGGCTGCAGGCTATAGTTGACAGACTCACCGGTAGGTGGAGGACCGGGCGGGATATTATGCCTGGTTACATAGCATTTTGACGAGGCTTCAGCCCATTCACCTTGCGATAATTTCGATGCAGTGCTCTTGGTTAGATTTAGAAAGCATTATTGTGTAAATTGTAAAGCACCATTGGCGTCTATTGCAACATCGCAGGCGGAGCTATAAGCTTGCAACAATCCCTATGTTGCAACATCGCAGGCGGAGCTATAAGCTTACAACAATCCCTATGTAAACGCGGCTATTGTGCGATGTTCGCACTGTGCGATCATTTAAATTGAGGATCGCTGTGAGCGAGTAACTGGAAGCGTCCCTTGATATTCCCGGTAATTTTCGGCTAAGCGACGGTATTTGCTAAAGTGCGAGGTCATGCGTTTAGTACCTGTTGGACATGTATTATTTATATTCACAGGCTGCGGCGTAGTAGTGCATGTTGTTCTGTTTTGAAGACTTGTAACGTTTTCTTTTTCGTTTATAGGTGACGATCCGGAGTGTCAGCTGGAGGCCGCGGTTTGCATCACTAACCTGGCCGCTGGCCCGGTGACCACTGAGCTGACTGGCGTGGTGGGAGGGTACCTGGTGACGCTGTGCGGCAGCTCCAGCCACCGCCTCCAGGTCAGTCCCCCAGTCGCCTCTCTATGTCCTTATTAGTCCTACACCCTACACCTCTCCCATAGGCGTAGGAACAGGGGGGGCTAGGTGGGCAAGTGCCCACCCACTTTTCGAGGTGGGGGGGCCAACCATGTGTTTTGGCCCACCCACTTTTTACTCGAGGCCCCTCGCACAGTGATGCAAATGGGGTTCACGAGTGGCCATAAATACCCAAAAGTCAAGTTTACCAAATCGAGTTAATTGCGATATGGCCGAGTAGACAAATGTTTGGGGCATCTGAAATCACATGGTTTTCATGTTTTTGTCAAAACCGGCCTCGTGTATCATCGTCAGAAGTCGTGACATTTTCTAGGTCGTAAAATGACGGTCAGACACTCGCAAGTTCAAACGCCGCTGGTTTGCGTTCATTTCGTACAAATTGAAAAAATTATGCATGAGAATGATCCCCAAAGCCTTCTGCTTCTAATGCCGGGTCACAAAAAGCCGTATCTCATTCGCTTTGGCGGTAATCTGACTATTTATCATCGTGTTGCAATCGCAGTTTTTTACTAAGAAAAAAATGCTTTCGTTTCACCTACAGCACTTAACACAGTGCGTGCCCGTTAGTCCACCATACCATAGCCTTCCCTAATCATTTCTGAATCGCATCGTGAAAGAATTAAGGCGCTATCACAGGGCTGACCGGCGCTACAGAGGTTTTTGTCCGGGCGGTCGGGTGCCGCAGTGGGCGCGCAGTGGGCGGGTGAGTGCCGCCGCGCGGCGTCCGGGCGGCGCGGCGGCGCGGCCGCCCGGGCCGCCCGCTGCGCCGCGGCACCCGACCGTGCCGGACGAAAACTTCTGTAGCGCCGGTCAGCCCTGTGCTAGCGCCTTAATTCTTTCACGATGCGACTCAAAAATGATTAGGGAATGCTATGATATGGTGCACTAACGGGCACACACTGTGTGAAGTGCTGTAGGTGAATTGAAAGCAATTATTTTTGGTAAAAAACTGCGGTTGCAACATGATAACAAATAGTTAGCTCACCGCCAAACCAAAATAGATACGGCTTTTCATGACGTAGCATTAGAAGCAGCAGGTTTCGGGGATCATTTTCATGTATAATTTTTGCAGCTTGTATGACATGAACGCACGCTAGCGGCGTTTGAAGTTGCGAGTATCTGACAGTCATTTTACGACATCGAAAATGTCTCGACTTCTGACAATCCTACACGAGGCCGGTTTTGACAAAAACATTAAAATCATACTTTTTCAGACACTCCAAACATTTGCCTGACTGACCATGTTACGATTTATTCGATTAAGTGAACTTGAATTTTGGGCCTTTTTCGTATTTATGGCCACTCGTGAACCCCATTTGCATCACTGTGCCTCGCCTCGATTTGAGAGGACGTCGTCACCTTCCAGAATAAACAAACTCGGTAAAAATAAGTTCCACGAATCCCCACGCACGGACTCCAAGGGGCCGTGATGGATCCAAGGAGGCCCTCTGTTCATACTTGTCAGTCGAAGCCCATGAGACTGATGGCCTGAGAGGCCCTAGTGGATCTGAGGAGGCCCCAATATCCACACTGGTCTGGGGAGGCCCCTGACACTGGCGGTCTGGGAGGCCCCTCTATCCACACTAGTCAGAATAGGCCCCTGACACTTGCGGTCTAGCCGAGGCCCCCTACCCTCACTAGTCAGAGGAGGCCCCTCTATCCTCAATAGTCAGAAGAGGCCCCTTAGACTGATAGTCTGGGAGGCCTATCCATCTACACCGTATGTAGTCAGAGGAGGCCCCTGAGACTGATGACCTGAGAGGCCCTTATAATCACAATTCACACCAGGCAGAAGAGGCCCATGAGACTGATGGACTGAGAGGCCCTTCTATTCATACTGGCCACAGGAGACCCCCAAAACTTTCGGTCTGGGAGGTCCCTCAATCCGGCACCAGTCAGAAGAGTCTCCTGAGACTGATGGCATGGGAAGCCCTTATATTCACACTAGGCAGAGGAGGCCCCTGAGACTGATGGTATGAGAGGCCCTCATATTCACACCAGTCAGAAGAGGCCCCCGAGGCTGATGGCTGTGAGGCCCTTCTGTTCATATAAGTGGCCACTGGAGGCCCCTGAAACCGGTGGTCTGGGAGGGCCCTCTATCCACACTAGTCAGAAGAGGCCCCTGAGACCGATGGTCTGAGAGGCTCTTACATTCATACTGGCCACAAGAGGCCCCTGAGACTGATAGTCAGAGAGGTCCACTCCTAATGAATCTGAGGGGGCCCTCTATCCACATTTACACTTTTCTAGGGAGGCCCCCGAGACTGATGGTCTGAGAGGGCCTTTTATTTATACTGTCCACTATGACAGGCTCGTGGTGCCCCTGATAGACCAGTGGTGCCCTTGCTAGGCCTGTAGTGCCCCTGGCAGGCCTCTGGTGCCCCTGCTACCTCTGCGCCCGGAGAGGACTATGGTGCCCCTGAAAAGCCTGAAGTGCCTCTCGACAAGCCCGTGGTGCCCCTGGGTCCTGACAGGCCCATGTTACCCCTGCGAGGTCGGTGGTGCTCCTGGCAGGCCTCTGGTGCCCCTGGCAGGTCTGTGGTGCCCCTGGCAGGCCTGTGTTGACTGTTGCCCCTGCTAGGCCGCTGGTGCCACGCACAGGCCTGCGGTGCCCCTGGAAGGACTGTGGTGCCCCTGCCCCTAGGGGTGCTCATGGGCCCAACAGGCCCGTTGTGCCCCTGACAGGCCTGTCGTGTATACTTGCTAGACCTGTGGTGCCCCTGCTTCCTGGCAGGCCTGTGGTGCCCCTGGCGGGCCTGTGGCGCCCCTACAAGGCCGTAGGTGCCCCTGACAGGTTTGTGGTGTCCCTGGAAGGACTTTGGTGCCCCTGACAAGCCTGAAGTGTCAAGGACAGACCCTTTAGACGCCAGGGTCAAGTTCGTCGGACTGACAACGATTTGCTTACCTGATAACGTTCCTGGTAAGTACTCACTACTCAGCGTCCACAACATATATACACATAGCACATTCATATATACTTGCTTACAATTGGTAAATGTGGTTGTGGCTAAGAGCTAAGATACTGACTAAAAATTTAAAAAAAAACTGAAAATGGGGGCACCACCAAAATGACGTGGACGAAATCCGTTGAGTTTTTAATTTTGGGTATAGGTAGGGGCACCACTTCGATTCATGACCCTCCCCTTGGAGTTTTCCTGGATCCGCCCCTGAACAGGGGCGCCGGCATGGCAAAGAGAGGCGCCTTCAAGTGTCCATAAAAGAGAGACGCCTATGATAAGTGCACATTGTACATATGCGACTGTGGGACATATAGGGATGTTTCTGATGATATACATAGGGCGCTTATATGCCAAAGAGGGCGCCTATGAAGCTAATGGGGGCACCTGGAAAACGAGGAAGACATTTGTGGAAGGGTTTTCAGGGGTCATGCGCCGTTTGCGACAGATTCCAAAAAAAAAATCGGAGGGGGAATAAGTTTTAAAAATGGTGCGAACTTTCCGCATTGTTCGCTTAAGCGGTTACGCCCCTGGGTACATCTGCCCGATCTCAGAAGTTAGATTTGGAGGTCATACTTGAAAGCAGCCAGCAGGACGAGGCAAAAGTTGGAGGCCCCTGAAAATAGGAGGCCCCCTGGAAAAGGAGGCCCCTTGACAGGGTGGCCCACCCACTTTTCATGACGTTCCTACGCCCGTGACCTCTCCCATCATGTGTGCCAATCCGTTTTCGATGCGCCAACACCTCCCCTTCAGGTCAGTATGTCTCTTCAGCACTTCTCTACTGGCGAGTCCGATGCTCCAGCCTCCCGATCCTATAGATCCGGTCGATACTCTCCTCCATTCTTGCCCGGCAGCTCCCGGTCAACACCACTCCAGGGGACCGACTTCCATTGAGGAAACTTGGCGGCTGGCAGAGCAATGCCTACTGCTTAGGTGCACAGCCACCGATAATTTTCAAAAGGTCACTGTTTAGTATGCAGGTTAGGAACACTCACGTTTAGAGTCTGGATATTTGTGTTCCCAGCATGTAGTGATATATGATGCCAGATATCAATGCAATGAATTCTTGTTGCATTCCACAATGATTGAAGTTTAGACATTTTATGACGATGGTTGTCCCACCAAAGTGTCGGATAGCTCAACAACTAAAGTCGAAACAATCTTATCGCTACTTAGTTTAGCTTCTTTTCTTACAACGTAAAAACAATGTATTGAGTCTTAAATGAACCAGCTAACGGCTTAGTTTAATTAACATACTTGCGTCATACTTTTTGCAATGCTCATGGAAAGCCACTTTGTTCCATATTCAAGGCCAAAACTAGGCACAGTTAATGCCTTAACTGGTCGGAGCAGACGGCTACTTGCATGTTATCACCGTTAAATCTATGTTATTCATACTCGTTTATCAGGATGGACCGGGTATGTAACAAATTACTTTCCGCTGCCGCAGCGTGTGGGCAGTTCGGTCGTCTGACAGATCTATCCATCAAACATTCCTGCAGCGATATCACGTTCGTACCCCAGCCGCTGTGACCCGTCTGTCCCCCCGTATAGGAGCAGTGTGTCTGGGCGCTGGGGAACCTGGCTGCCTCCGGAGCTCCCGTGTGCGCCCTGCTGGCCGCCCAGGGTCTGCCGGCCGCCGCCGTCTCCTGTCTGAAGTCTGTCCAGGGAGCTGTGAGGGAGGCGGCCGCCGCTGCTCTGGCCGTCTTCCTGACGCATGCCGGCGCTGGAGACACGGGGTAGGTGGCTTAAACGGCGTGGAAGGTGATGGAAATGACATCTTGAAATGCAGGAGACTTATTATAATTTTGTGTGCTGATCGCCGATTCAACTTTGAATTTACGAACGTTTGGATGTTGCTTGGCGTGATAAATTTAGAAAAGTGTGCATGTTATCGCTTATTCGATTGAAGCAGGTGTTCTGTGTCAGTCTTTATTCACGACGTCGTCAATTATTTTATAAAAGTGATCCTGTGGCATGTTTTTTGTGTTACTCCCATGGCCTCGACACATCACAACTCGTCTGCTCTCTTCCAGCGCTCTGCCCGCCGAGCTGCTGCCTCTGTTGTCGCCACTGCTCAGTCTGGACTCCCCGGGCGCCTGTTTCTGCCTGTCTGCCGCTGCTGCCAGCCCTGCCGCCGACTCCCTGCTGGCTGCAGCGCCCACCGAGCTCCTGTCCAGTGTCTCAGATCTGCTGCTGCGTGCCGCCGTCACCGCCGACCCCTCTCAGACCGAACTGCGCTGTCTGACGCACCTTCTCCGCGCGCTGACGCACCTAGTGCTGACGCCTGGCGCCGCGGCGGTGGCGCTGCGCCAGCCGTGTGCGGTGCGTCTGCTGTCGGCGCTGCTGCGTCATCGGCGGCGTCATGTGCGACGTGAGACGCTGATCTTGGTGGCCAACCTACTGTCAGAGGAGCGAGGGGAGGAGGCGAAGATGGCGGCAGAGGAGGCGGGGCTACCGGCGAGGCTGGCGCCGCTGCTAGAGGAGGCGTACCGAATGATATGATGGCCGGGAGACGGGATGGACTGAGAGGATATCCAGGAAGTTTTCAAGAGGAGCTGATGATGAGATGTATGTAGAGTCTGTTGGTGGGCAGAGGACTGATTATTGACAACCATCAGTTCCAGCTGTGATGTGATCGTATCAGTGATGGTAGGGTGATAACCAAGAAGGCCAGGCCAGGGTGTTCATGATGCGTGCATGATCTGTTGTCTGTTCGCCGAATGTGGACTGAGGAAGCCGGTTGGCTCACTGGCTAGGCCGGGCTTTAGGGCCAGCTCGTGCTGCCTAAGTATCGGCAGTTACTTTATGGCGGCGTTTTGTCGAGACAGTGCAGTGTTCAGTTGATTCTCATCGGATTCCGTGTAATGTAACTACGTAGGTTTTCATAATAAAGCATCTTTTGATATTTTCACGGCTTGTAATCGGTTAACAATGAACATACGGACTCCTTTTCGCTAGTATCGGTCGATAATTTCCGTTTCGACATCAGTTTTATCTCTACAGCAGTTACATATTTCCTGTCCGGGAGCTCCCACATCCTTTCTACTCCGTTCTCCTCCCCGTCCCTGATTAAGGCTGTCAGGTGCGGTGTGCCGTATTGTACTCTTCGTGCAGGATAATGTTTTCTTCAGGGCAGCACTGCAGGGTCACCTGGTGTGACACATATTACGTTTCTCTGCATGGTGATTGTTCATTGACACTGGTCGGAGCTGGGCCAAAGTATCGGCGTTACACAGGAGTCAGAGCGCCGGACGGCTGTGAGGGGAGCTGGACGCGTGACCCGCCATTTATAATATGCATGCACTGGGGCACCTGCACAGTGCACAGGTGTGCATTACACAGTGCGCCAGGTGCATGGTAGATTTAGAACATGGTAAGGCTGGTTCAGCTTTGAAGCTGGGTGAAGTTAGAGGAAATCAGGAGAGTAGGAGCAGGTGTTTGGTAGTTGGGAGCTGGCAAACTGCGTGGCGTAGAGCTCTAATCATCAGCGCAATAATCAGGGCCGCACCGTATTTGAGCCCATGTTACGTGAGTCTTGATCACCATCGCTTGCGATCAAAGGACCCTCCCGCTCATTCATTCCCAGTTTTATTTCTCGGTCACGAGCAGATATTTTCCCTTATCGGTCAGGAAAAAAGAGAGAATATAAACAATGGATCCCGCGGCGCACGTCATGCCATACCTAGTACCCACTCAGTCGTGCCTGGGCCGTAAGAGGACCGGCAGTGTCAGTCTTGGTATGTCTCGTTAGTTTCAACTTTTTAGAGAAATGTAAGGGTCGTCAACATTTCAGGTTTATCTTGATCTACCTATAACGATGTATCATTGAACGACTGTTGCGTTACTACCCGACTCTTTGAACCTCTAATTCAAATCGAGCGCCGATTGGGTACGAAATATGTATTTCAGCTCGCTTGTAGTGCCATCTGTCTGCCGGCTTGTCTGTTTTCTGACTGCATATCCGTCCGTCCGTCTGTCCGTCAGTCCGTCTGTCTTGTCTGTCTGTATGTATATCTGTCTGTCTCTATTTATGTATGTGTGTATGCTTACTATGTATTAGTGACTTTGTGTGTGTGTGTGTATGCATGTATGTCTGCCTGTCTCGGTCTGTCCATCTGTCTGTGTATGTATGTCGGACCTGTTTACGGGCCGACCACGCGCCGCCCGCAGCCGCGCGAGCCGCGACACCCCATCAGCATCACAAAGCTTCTCCCACGCGACACGGTCACATATATCGCCGCGGCGGCGGGTGCTCAGTGCTCACCTCTCCGCCGCTCTGCTCTGACCCGCGCCCTCCTCTGGGGATCCTCCTAGTCGGCGCGGGCGACACACCGACCGGCCGACCGTCGGCGCAGGTAGCCCGCCGCCACGAGGTCAAGGTTGGCTGTACTTTCTCCGTGGCAGGAGCGCGCGCGCGGCTGCCCGACTCGCCAGCGCGCCGCGACGGCCGGCACGCGCGCGCGCGCGCAGCAATGCGCGCCTTTTTGCACCGTCCGGGAATGGGTCCGTCGGTGGCGGGACGTTTTTACGTGCCGGGAGATGGGCTTAACTGGCTGTTGACCCAGCTCGGGGGACCCGGGGCGGCGCGCGGGCTAACCCACTGAGATGCGCGCTGATAGTGGACTGACGCCGACTGGACATTGTGTGATAGGTGCCGGCGATGGCGCCGTTAAGTGGCCGCCGGTGGCATGTGCCGCTGTTTGCTGTCACGCAGTGAAGAGTTTGCTGCTTTTGTTCTCCACCGGCTAGCCTTCGGCAGCGTGCAGCGCCTCGGCGGGCTGGAAACCGACGATGACTCGCGCTCGTTCTGGTCCATTGGTATTCCTCGCGTCCGCTGCGTCTTCAGAATCGGCTGAATTGAGCGATGCCGCGGCCGTGTTTAGCCTGATGTTGGCCGGTAAACGATGGATATCCCGCTGACCACTTATCAACGTCGCAGGACTGCCATCAGTTACCTGCCCGCTCGGCCCCGACCGCTGCGCCACGCTAAGTACCGCCTGCTCATACAGAACAGCCGTCATCGAGTGACTCACCCATCACCCGTCAGGTGACTTGTGTGATGTCACACTCACTGACCAGCAGTTCTAACGAGGATACGATAAAAATAACCTGCCTGCAGACGACATTTTTAACCGCCGTTTTCTGTCAGGCCTGGCGAGACAGGCGAAGCCCATATAAGGCATTGCCGTTGAGCCTGTTCGATAAAGGGTTCTCCATCGCGGCCCGGCGGGTGACCATGGACTCGTGGTCGCGTGGCTGCGGGCCTTGCCTTGCTGCGCTGTTCCGTGAGGTGAAGGCTGTACCGTGCAGTCTGGAGGGAGCCGCAGGGGATGATGCGGCCGATCGTGACTGGGACGGGGCGTGCTCTCCCCCCCCCCCCCCCCCCCCGGCCGGCGGTCCTGTTTGCTCAGGGACTGGTCCGGAAAGGGAGTGCCGCTACTAGTCCCCGCCTCACTTCTACAGGCTTTGCGACCCTGCCATCAGGCTCTTCAGAGGCTGTTTGCTCAGGGGCTGGTCCGGAAGGGGAGGGAGTGCCTCTGCTGGTCCCTGACTCACCTCTCCAGACATTGCGAACCCGCCAACAGGCTCTTCTGCGTCTCCTCTTCAATAAGTATTCACGTGTGCTCAAAATATACGGACACCACACGTAACCGCCAGTCGTGAGCGGCATAACTCGTGCGCCCGGCTGTCGATCAGCCGGCGACGTTTCCGTCTCTGGCCGCAGTGCACGCCGCTCAGAGACGCTCGACATCGGTAACCGTGACCGGTGACGCAACCCTCTCCCGCTGCGCTCTGAGCGATGTAGATGTATCGGGTTTGAATGTCGCTCCTGTCAGGCTTGACCGATGATGTTGAGAGCGCTGCGGACTACCGAAATTTGCCACGAGCATACCGTGTCCGACTGGTGGCTCCGTTGACGTGGGACGTGTGCCGACGGTTTCCGTCAAGGTCTCGTTAGACTCTGTGGCAGCAGACCTCGCCGTAGGCTTTGCTGCACAACCGGCAGCTCAAACCATGACTATGATAACGGTGCATCGGCAGGAGCGTGCCGGGGCGCACGGCAGCCGCCGGGAGGTGCTCGTTACCTGGTTAGCGAGGTGGTCCGGTAGCCGTCAGCGCTGACCTACCCGGGTCGGGGTCAGTACGGATCTGTCTGAGGTCAGGCCTGACCTATACCCCGGTCCCGGGGAGGCGGTGACCTATCAAGGAACTCGCTGACCTAGCCGAGACCGTGCTGACCTATCGGGACCGCGCTGGTCTGAACTCTATGCAGCGTAGACTTATTTACCTTCTCCCTCAGTGATCTTCGCTAGATCGTGCTGACCTACCCGAGACCGTCCAGAGTGACCTACCCGAGACGGTCCTGACCTACCCGGACCGTGCTAACCACTGACCTTCCTGGGACCGTGCTAACTGCTAACATACATGGGACCTTGCTAACTGCTAACCTTCCTTGGATAATGTTAACTGCTAACCTACATGGGACAGTGTTAACCGCTAACCTACCCGGGGCCGCAATGACCTACCCGCCGGGCGGCAGGTCGTTAGCGCTCGCTGACATCACCTGCTTGTTTCAAAGACACGTCGGACCTGCCGCCGGCCACATCACGTACTTACACCAGGTGCCCGCCAGTGGAGCTCAGTCGAATCAGCATGACGCTGTGTCCCTGGTTATAGGGTTTACAAATACATAAAGTGGGCCGTTGTGGGCGAAGTCGTTTATGTCACCGGCTCCTTTTGTAGAGTTTTTATGCATGCTCCAGAGGCCACCAAAATATTTACCAATACCAAGTTGTTTTTAATGCTCAGTCGAACTGAGAGCATTGCAGCTTGAGCTACATGACTAAGTTGGCAGCTTTTATCACAGAATATTTAATCATTAATGCGTTTGGATTGAAATCAAACTCGCCATTTTATTGGTCACTCTATAGTCAGACGTGATTGCCTTTATATTGACTCTGTGGTTCGATTTTAAAATGCCAAAGACGTCCTCTTAGGGCAGTAAATTAGTTACCGAACCGCAGTTACTCAACCCATTGTGGCCTTTTTTGCTCCCTTTTTAACCCTTTCGCCTGTGTTTATCACTGATCTTTTGAGCCCGTCTGCGGCGGCGGCCGGTGAGGGGAGCTGTCGGCCTGTGCCACTCTCCAACAATGGTGACTCGGCCCGGAGACCTATCGGGGTTAGACGTGGCCGGGCCGTGCATACTAAACGGGCGGCCGGCCGACGCGTGACCTTGCTTCCTCCAAGCGCCGACGGGCCCCCTCGGCCCTCGCGGCCTCCCCCCCCCCCCCTCCCCGGCCCGGCGGGGACAATACTGCAGTCAGATGGAGGGGGAAGGGGTCAGAGCAGGTCCAGTGACACAGTGACCAGACTGCAGGTCTCACAGTTACGCCCTCTCATAGACGAACGCATTTATATCGGTTGCAGGATGTCAATGTTAATGCTCCTGCCATGTTTTGATCCTCTTTCGTATATACCTAATGGGATGAATGCTTGAAGCATAAAAATCTGCATTTTACTTTTGAACGGCACCTCAGGTCTCCCTGGTTTTACTTGAGAAAACATCTTATGCGCGTTAGAACTGTCACCGCTGAAAAAGCCGAGCTTCTCATATATTGTCTGCGCGTTCGTATATTTTTCGATTTTCTCATCTAACTTGAGCTCATGTCTCTCATGACAGCATAGGCCATTCAAATGGATTGAGTCTGATTGTGTCAAATGGCCCTGTAACATCGTCGACTAGCCAGCCATTCTGTCCAAGTACCTCAACTAGCCGACTTGAACCGTCTCGAGGGTTCGCCTAACATGAGACCTCCTGCACAGGTCCCATTGGTCACAAAACCTACACCGTCAGCCTACTGGACAAGGTTGCGCCACTGTTCTTGCTTACCGACCTCGATGCGCGTGGGTCCCCAATGGTTTGTTAATGTCTTGTGCCGGTGTTTGCTTGGCAGCCTTATATGCCGGTGAAATAGTGCAGTCATGTACCAGCCGCTGGATAACCGGGCTACAAGTCTACTGAGGTGACTAAAACGCCCTCCATCTCATCTCCGTGGTGAGAAACTGCGCCCGCGCTCCTTTCAGCCGGGCAGCTGACCCACTTCTGGCGCGTTTTGACTGGTGTTGTGTCGTAGCCGCGAGGTCTCCGTGCCCGCGTGCAACTCAGCGCTCCCTGGAGATTGAAGCAGGTCCGGTATAAGGGCAGCTCACGGTGCGCACAAGGTTCTTTCAATGTCCTCGGATGCATTCTTCTCGCACAATCCGACATTGGCATGTGTCCAGACGGCTACGCGGTGACAAGACAATACCCCGCCGTCGCAGCTCATGACACCCCATACTCGTCCGACGTCCAGTTCAGTTCTTTGACTGGAACGCCTGTCCGAAACATATATCACCAGCCCTCCTGACACGGACGTTGCTCCCAGTTTGGCGCTCGACCGTCCAGAGTCGACCTTTTTGCGCTGGTCTGGTGGTTCCATCGGCACGGTTACCAATGTAAGCATGTCTCTGTTGGCTATCGAACGCGAGGATCGCTCGCTTCCATCCCGGCAGGCTGTGGTGGTTGTTACTTGCTGGTCTTTCCGTCCATCGCCGCGACGCATACAAGAAGGTGGATAGTCATGTGTTTTTAGTCGGTTTGGTGATGTTATTGGTGGACGTAGGTGTTGGCGTCTGTCGTGAACGTTTTAGGAATGTTTGATGGTATCGTATTTGATTGAAGGTATCGATAGCCCCATTATAGCACCTGTGGAGGAAGTCAAAAATATTTCTTCCGTGGCAACTTTCCCTATGGCTACTGGCTGTGTGCTTTATGGAGCTGCCATGTTTCGGGTTATAATTCGACAATTGGTAGGCAACTTTCACAAGTATTCCACAAGAGGGATATTAACTTTGTCTTCCACAAGTATCATTTTAACTGTTATGTGCACTCGCTCAAAGGAAATCACAATTTCTGCTTTAATGGAACGAACCACTTTCGTGTCAGTCATAAGGTGGGTTTTAAACGTTCAAGCGCGATGCGTGATTAATCGATAATACTTTTTCTGTAGATATAAGATGTTTTTATGGCAATCATTCAGCTTTTTAAAATAGGCAGTCATACAATGAATTTAATAAAACATTACATGATTAGATTGTATATAGAACGTTGTTACGCTTGCTTGAATCACAACGAGAACCGCTCCCTCAAGGCGGGCATTGCGGGTTGCCTACCTTCAGGCGCCTATGATGGTAGACTGCGCCGCGATATCTCCCGTCCATCGGCGCTTTTCGCATGACGACGGCAAAGGCTAACGCGCCTTCCCGTTTGGTTACGTAAAAGGCAATCGGTGGTTGAGTTCGTATCATCGATATACATACATCTCAACTGCAAGTAACTTGTATTTCGTATTCCCGTCTGCATGTTTGGGAGGTTTGTCGTTCCAGCAATTGTCAGATATGAATAAATCAGGGAGTGTAGGTCATAAATGGACCATTAAAACTGTCATCGTATGATCGTGGTGATTCCAGACTCGAAAGGATGCGAATTTCTCTTGAAGTGAGGTATAAGTTAATCATTCCGCCTTGTTTCCTCCGACAGGCGTATGCAATGCGGTATGTATTTCCAAAACTATTCTCCAAAAGTTGATAAATAATCTCGCATGACCTTTTATACCTGCATACCGGCTCCTCTCATTCATTATTTGCCGATTTCGTATCCTGTTTGGCCCACAGCTGACAGCTCCGAGTATAGCTGCGGACGTAGCCATTGTCCACCAGCGATATCTTGCCCGGGGTGCATTGCATCCAATCCAATCACCACAGGCGCCGCAAAGTCAGTAACCATTTCGCAAGTCCGAAGACGGACTTTGATAACCATGTTTTCCTCGCTCTTTCCACGCGCGATTCAGTCCTGTACAACCACGCTGCCAAATTTGACCACGGCAGCGGCTCTGACCCGGTCTTTACGGTCCATACATGGTCCAGTGGAGGACTTGGACACTGCTCTGTCCGTCGTGGTGCGGCGCCAGCCCCGGTCGACGCATTATCGAGACTCCGCGCGGCTATCAGATCGGTCACCTGCAGTCTCGGACACCGCGTCGGCCGCGCCGCGCCGCCGGCACATGTATCAGCCAGCGCGTATCTCCCGGCGCGACACCGCTCATCGGCGCTCATAAATATTTTCCTGTCGTGCGCTCCTCCTGAGCTTCGTTCGGGCGAGGAGGGGCGGAGAGACGAGCGTGGCGCACTGGCGACGGTCAGTGGTGTGTCCACTGCTGACTCATGGACAGAAGTCACTGAAACCAGCTGAGCTGGCGGTGACGCCAGAGCTATCGGGACCAGGTTTGTGTCGGTCGCGGGGGGGGGGGGGGGGGAGGCTGATGTGTCGTCACCCAAACGGCAAACCAGCGCTCTATTAGCTGGTCGAGTCGTCACACCAGTGATGAACTGACGACGATGCTTTGATGTGATGGGATATGATGCAATGTCCTACGTTGTATGTCTATTATCGGTATTTATATGGACTATGGAGCACATGATGCGTCGTGTATTTATTTGAATTGTTATAGATGTATAAAAATGAACGTTGTGGAAGAAAATAACAGCTGTCACGTCTAATTAGAAACGGTCCGCCTCAATCGTTCTTCATTTTAAACCCTCCATACCCCAATGCTTCACCTAAACACTGAGAGTCGTTTAGCTTGCCGAAAGTACGAGAAGATAATGTGGTAACTTGTTTATTTCCAGCATTGTTCGTTGCAAAATAGCTAGCAGAAATGCGTTTATCTCCAATGCCCTTGTCTTAAACGAAAGCTCTTGAAAGCAGTTTTACATTTTATATTACATAATTTAGTTTTGCACTTTCCGATTTATGCCCATATATAAACGCCTTTTCAGTACTACAGAAAGGTCTAATTTGGCCATGCCAAGTAAGCCTTCGGTAATGATGTTTCGGTGATGGAAACCACACAGAAGAGGAAAGAGTGAGAGGGTGAGTTGGGCGGGGATGGTTTGTGTGGGTGAAAAGGGGTGGGGATGGAGGTAGGGTGAGGGTAGGCAGGAGCAAAGGGAGGGTGAAAGGGGCGGAGTGGTCGGGTTGCAAGAGGGGCTGGGAATAGTTGGCTTTGCGAGAGGAGAAGGGGATGGAGGGAGGATGAGAGGGGGTGGTTCAGTACCGGCAAAAGGGAGTGGAGATGGTTCGGCTCCGTGAGAGGGGGTGGGGAGGGTCTCGGTACCGGTGAGAGGGGGTGGGGATGGTCACGGTCCGGTGAGAGGGGGGCGGGGAATGGTCTCGGTACCGGTGAGAGGGGGGCGGGGGATGGTCGGCGAGGTGAGAGGGGGAGGCGGCCGTCGCCGGCAGAGGTGCGCGCCGCGCCGCGCCGGCTGTTGGCCGCTGGTCCGGCGGCGCTGTGTGACGTCAGCCGGCACCCGCCGCCCGATCACCTTATACGGCGCGCCGGGGCGGGGTCGGCCGGTACCCAGAGGTCAGGGCCTCGGGCGGTGGCGGCGCGCCGGCCGGCCCACCGCCGCCGCCGCCGGTCGGCCAGTCGGTCGCCGCTTGAGCGCTGCGCCGCACGTCTCAGAGAGTGAGTGAGCAGTCTCGGACCGATCAGCGCCCCGGGGAGCGGAGTGACTGGACGGGCCCGCGGGCCATGATCTGACAGCGACCGCAGGTCAGTTCCGCCGCCCCCGCGGCCGGGCTGGCTACATCGGGTCGGGTCGGGCGGCTGTTATGACGGGTCCGGTCGGCTGTTTTGATGTGATCGTGTGCAGTCGGAGCAACAGTTGTCGCTGGCCGTCTGTGGCACCCTGGTGTTAGGTCCGCTGTGGGTTTGTCGTCTGTCGCTCGGCACGATCACGTTTATTTATCCACCGACTCGATGAAGACCGACGGCGGCACTGGACGGGAGTTGTCATCGCGCAGAGTTGCTGAAACCATTTGCTGTCGTGTCGACGCTGACTAGTGCCAGGTTTTGTCGGGGACGGTCAACTGGCTTGTGATGTGCCCAAAAATCCTCGTGACTTGCGAGGGAAATTCATCCCATAATGGTCCACTACTTATAATCCACAAATGTTTTGAGCCTGGGAGCACTGGGTTATGACCGCAATGGGTCGTTATCACTAGATTACGAGTATCTAAATCTGTGAATAGTCTTGGCCGGGAATATGTCTCATCGGAACCATCATCATATAAACCGGCCGGTGATAACGTTCGGCGGTGTTGGTCACTGTTTTGTTATGATGCTCCACCATAGGCGTCGCCAGAGATTTTCGGTTGGGGGGGCAAAATCAACTTTTGTGTTAAATCTTGCCTTCCTCCAGTCGTTACTCATTCATTTTACGCATCATTAAACGCGCAATGGTGCGAGGAATACGATGGTGACAAGGTTTTCCTTGTAGCTATGACTTGCCATTTTTTACAGAAAATTCAAATTTTTAAATTTTTGAACAAAAAAAAAACACGATCGGTAGAATCACAATGGCTGCGCTTACCGACGCACTCTAGAGAGCCCCTGTGCAGACGCTCGTCGCTCATGATCATCACCCAGGAAAAGAGGTTAAAAACGCTCAGTTTAATCGAATCACCTTGCTGAAACCTTCATTCACGCATGCATGCAGAGGTTATACGTGAAATGCATAGGGCTTATCCCAGCCGCCGATTGAAGCTAAGTTGGGCTTTCGGCGGAGAGTGAATGTCGGAAGTGTGAATCGGAAGTAATTCATCTTTGCTCCAGTGAGAGGAGGTGTTTTGTTCACACGAGAGTGTGAACAAAATGTTTCTCGTTTTTCGTGTGCAAGGAAGCGCTGCAAACGCGAAGAAAAGATGTTTAACGGAACCAAAATTTCGCACCGCACAGCGGCAAGGGATCCTTTAGCGATAGGCTTGGGACTTCCAGGCCATTTTAGGCCACTCAGGGTCAGTGTGGGCTCTCAGAAGCCTGCTTAGGATCCTGAAGATCGGCGTTGGTCACCCCAAATAGTTACGTGTATGTGGTGCTTTAGGGCTTTCCGAGCCCAATGTGGGACCCTCAGAAGCCAGTTTGGGCGGCGGGCGCTAAGAGACCAGGCCCAGGGTGAGCAGGGAGCCCTCAAATAGCAGTGTGAACCCTGGAGGTCTGTGTCGAATCCCTAAGGACCCAACATAGGGACATAAGAAACATGTGCTGGGACCCTCAGAGGCACACCTGAGTCGTGACCCCTAAACTGCCGGCTTGGGCTCAGCAAAATCTCTCGCCTCAAAAGCTCGGCTGAGCTATCAGAGGCCTAAGGTTCTCAGAAATTTTTGAAAGTACCTATCCTCAAAGATCCGTGTGGCCCTTCAGAGGTCTACGCATGTGTAAGGTCCTCAAAGATCCCTGTATGGGCTCTCAGAGAATATGAACACTAGTGGGACTCTCAGAGGCCGGTTTGGGCCCTCTGAAGGCTTCTTAGAGCTCAGTGGAGCTCCTTCGGAGCCTGTGTGAAATGCAAGCAGTCATGAGCCCTGTGGCACTTGAACGGTACTTGAGTCTGTCGCAGACATTTGACGAGAGTTGAAAAAGGCCCGAAGATTTAGTGTCACGCTTTGAACGCAAATTTTGTATCAGCACTTCAAAACTTATGAAAATCAGCTATAAAATGTAATAAAGAACCAACTAGGAACATGAAATGAATCACAGTATTGACATTTCCGAGTCTGGAGTCGGCGTCTTGACGATGTTGGCGACTGCGAGTCCGACTCTGGCTTGAACGAGTCTGACCTCACAGGCATTCTCAGAAAGGTACCCCCATTTTTTCCCGACTCCAAAATCTCATCGGATCTGTATCGATCTCAGGGGGTGCCCGGTCCGAGGTTGGGGGGGCAAGCTGCCCCGCTTGCCCCCCGTGGCGACGCTAATGTGCTCCACTCACGTCTGCGAGGCCGTCCATAACTGACCGGTCACCTCGATCAGCATTGGCCACCTCTGGCGCTGATTCACCCCGCTGAGTTCGACATTCCTCTGTCCCGCTCGACTGGGCACGGCAGCGGTGACTCTGGGTCCCGTGCATTCGCTAGGATTGTTGATGTGTTTGCATTTTGTTCGCGGTATATGGCGCGGTAATCTTACATAATCTTGACTTGCATAATTAGGTTACTATATGGAGGTAACTTATAGAGTTGCATTTTGGATTGGGAGTCTGGCTCGTTGATGGAATAAAAAATAAGACGTTAAAAACCCTACGGACAAATATGACCAGAAAAAAATTACCTTCTTTCGCCCTTCTTTTGTTTTTGCTAGTTTATTTTTGGTACGTTTTTTCAGAAATTAAATTTGATAAATGATTTTAAATCTTTATCTATTATGACTGTTTTTTTACACCAAATTGGTGCGGTAACATTGGTTGAACGAGTTTAACTTTTCAAACGCTCGCTAATCAAATCAAATTGTGTTATTATGACACGAGTAACATAATTCTTAAATAGATAATAATTGGATAATTATTGATACAAATGAGCAAAACGACTAATAATTATCTATGAATTTCTCCCTTGCCCGCCGCCTTGTGTATACCGCAGCTGAGTCGGTCGCAGACTCCATCCCCACCTCGGCAGTGGCCGGTTAGCACCGCGCCGGTGTCCAGCCGTCACCACCTGGTGATTCGGCCCGGGTCCGTCAGTGTATACGGTGACGGCAATACGGCCCGGGTCCGTCAGTGTATGTGACGGGAATACGGCCCGGGTCCGCCTATACGGTGACGGGAATACGGCCCGGGTTCGTCAGTGTATACGGTGACGGGGGCGCGGCCGCTGACGGCTCCGATGGACTCGCGGACGGGGAAAGGGCTGGGTGAGCTGGGTTCAGTGGTGGGCCGACGAACTGAGTCCAGTGACGACTTTCTGAACCGAGTCCAGTGCGCATCTGAACCAGGGTCAGTGACGAGCTGGCGAGCTTGCCGTCTCTGAACGAATATGTCTGCAAAAATTAGTGCCAACTTGCTGAATTGGGCTCGGTGACAACTGCCAAAGCTGAGACCATTTTTCCGGCTGTCAGGAACTGGGAATCTGTCGAGGATCGATGAAACAACTCGCTTTCTATAACCATTGATGAAAACATAAGCAAAATAGGTTTATCACTCCCAAACTAGCTAGCCATTCCTTATCTGGGACCCTTACCCCCTGCCGTTAAACTACTACAGCCTGGTCATACGATTCTCGGCTAACCGTCTGTGTACATACAGTCACACCCCATGGACCGTAACACCTTCACGGACCGGACGTTCGATGAACCGATCAGCGTATACGACTGTATACAGACAGAGGCGCACACCCCGTGACTCTGCGCTAATCACCGTCGGTCAGTCCCCGTGGGCGCGCTCACTAGCCATTCTGCACACTCGGCAATCCAATTCATAACTGTCACGACTGGAGATAGTCGGTCGACGAATGTGGTTGGCTGTGGGAGAGAGAGAGAGAGAGAGAGAGGGAGAGAGAGAGAGAGAGGGAGAGAGAGGGAGAGAGAGACAGAGAGAGACAGAGGAGAGAGAGAGAGAGAGAGAGAGAGAGAGAGAGAGAGAGAGAGAGTCTCGAACGGCGCCGCTCTCGTCTTATCGGACACCCGGTGCACGATGCCGAACCACATTAGACCGCCGTCCGCTAGCCATTCAGACCACCGTCGAACCGACAGAGAATTATTGGGCCTCCCATCTGACCCGAGGTAGCTATCAGTGGCTTGTCGCTTGTATCCGGACGATTCATTTAACTTTCTAAGCGTCCGTCTGACGGGGGAGATGCCGCGGGCTGCCGGCGGGACTCCATTTGGTGTGATCCGGTGGCCCCTAGATCCGAAGGTTCGTACGTGACCTGAAAATGCGGCCGCACGGTTCTTTACGTAACAAATGAGACGGCCAAATAAAAAGACGATAGACCAAAAGTGGAGGGCAGGTGTGTTGATTAGGGCTGATCGGTTGTGGATAACTCAGGTAGATGAAACCGAACCCACATGGCAACTGCGATAGAGGGCACTTGTCCTTCATCGCTTGAGGCTGGCCTAAGCAGACTTTTCGATGTTCTTGGTTAGATCTTACTCGGAGCTCCTACCATTCGAACCTGATAATCTTCTCAGCTTTGTACTATTTATAACTAAGAGAAGCTCTGCCTTGACCTGACCTGGCAGCGTTCTCCATCACTGTGTCACGTTCAAAGTGTGAGAAAGCTTTGTTTGGCGCGGTGCGAGCGGCCGAGCCATAAGCTGTGTGGCCGTCGCGGCTGATTATAGGGCGGAGAGCCCCCGCCCACTGGTCTCCATGCCCCTAGCCATTACCGATGACGTAATGACCACACGGAGACCGACAGAGTCGAGAAGCCGAGCTGAGAGGCTGAGCCGAGGGGCCGGGTCTAAAGATGGTCTGAGTCTGGTCTGCAGATAAACACTGAGCTGATAGACGGTGAAGTTGAACTGATAGGCCGTGAGTCTGAGACTAGAGACAAAGCGAAAGATCAAGTGTAGAGGCGAGCGGAGAAGCAGAGCCAGTGGCCCGGATATGCAGTAACTGCTAGTCTGCTAAGAGCTGCGTGAAGTGCCGCCGCCGGCGGATATCCCCTGTTGAGACCGAATAGAGCGAAATAAGCGATGAAGTGGGGTCGCTTTGTGAGACAAGAGTTGAGCTGAGCCGAGACTGTGAGGTGAGCTGAGGCAAGAGCTAATGTACTTTG